TATATATATATATATATATATATATATATATATATATATATATGTACATATATATATGATTCATTTACTCCAAGTATACTTTACTTAATAACTCATGTTCTATATTAGATTTCAATAATTCAATTATTAAATTTGAAAATCATTTGATACTTTGTTTCATTAATTCAAACAGATGAATAATCATAAAAATATTTTATACATTTATTTTAATTTTAATTGATGAAATGGAGTATCAATCAGTTTTCAATTATTTTTTTTTAAAAGGATGTTAAGTCTCATTTATACATATGTTTAGATAGGAATTATTGAACAAATCCACTCATCCCATGCACTCTTGCAATATAATTATTCTCTTTTTGATTCAATTTTTGTGCAGATATGGCTAACCCAAAACTCATCTAACAATACCCTGATACATCTCATTTTTTGTGCAGGTATTGAGTCAAAGAGTTGAGGTTGAAGACCCATTTGATTGAAAATTAAAAGAGCTAAGGAGCAGGAGAAGCATCATTGTGTCGGGCGCAGACTACCCGCACCGGGCTTGAGAAACACAGAGTGCATCACCTCTACACTTTAGCATTGCGCCGGGTGCAAGACTATCCGCGTCGGGCGTGATTCAAAACAGAGAGCACTCAAAACTCTCTGGAAGACATTACACCGAGTGCAGGAGTATCTGCGCCGGGCGTGCTTCGAGATAGAGAGTAATTACCCCTCTGGTAGACCATGCGCCGGGCATGTAAACCCTATCCTGACTTGATCAGTTCGTATTTGAGCAAAGCTTCAAGGATTTTCTACCTCATTCACACATTAGGTGACTTCTAGGAGTTGTGGAAGGGATTCCCAGTGCTTGGGACCGTTCGTGTGTGGGTCTTTCCTTTGATTCTTCCATCTCTTTTTGTTTTACCTTCATTGTTTTGAGCTGTTCTACCCATTATTTTGTGAGGTTAGATGTAACCAACGAAACTCTCTTGTAATCTTCACTTTATTAACGATATATATGTTGTTTCCACTACTAGAAAATTATTATTCTACGTCGGCAATTTTACATCGGTTATATGAAAACCGATGTAAAAAATAAACGCGGTGGCACTTTCGTAATTAAATGTAAAAGGTTGGGATATTTACATCGGTTTTAAAGGCGACCGATGTAAATGTTCAATATTCTACGTCGGTTTCTAATTAAAGGATGTAGTATTCACGTTGAACTTGTACATTCTCCCGCAACACTGAACCTCGACATCACTCAAACTCAAAACCCCACAACCTCAATATTCATCTCCCAAACTTAGCATCTTCAATGGAGAGTTCCCTCGTCAGTCCATTCTTTGAAGATTCCTTGAAGAGGCGGGTTTGGTCACCTCGCGAGGGATTGCGTGCACGGAGGGAACGCTGGCGGCGACGGCGGAGGTGGTGGAGCGAGCGGATCTTGCTTGAGGTGTGGCGGATTTGGACACATGGAGAGGGATTGCGCCACCGCGAAGGGAGGCAGCGGCGGCGGAGCGGGTAGTGGTGGGGGTTGTTTTCGGTGCGGGGAGGTTGGGCATTTGGCTAGGGATTGCGGTGTTGAAGGAGGGAAGTTCGGTGGTGGTGGTGGTGGTAACAGTGGTCGTGGTGGTGGTGGTGGGGTTTGGTCGTGGTGGTGGCGGTGGGGTTTGGTGGTGGTGGTGGTAACGGTGGTCTAAAAAAATAATTAATTTTTTTTTAAATTCACATCTACATCTACATCGGTTTTCTGACAACCGATGTAGATTTGAACGCAAATCTACATCGGTTTGTTCTACATCAGTTTTATAACCGATGTAAATTAGCTTCCAGAACCGATGTAGAACAGTGTTTTTGTAGTAGTGTTCATTCATTGTTGTGTTATATTTTTATTCTTAATGCTTGCTTTGGATTGATCCTCCTTTGCTTGATATAGAGTCCATTGGGTATTAGAAAATAGCCTTTTGAACTAGCTCTGAAACAAATACCTAGTGAAAAATGTATCTAGGAATGGAGCTTGACCCATTAGTAGTCTTAAACCCTAATCCGTAATGCGGGTGTAGGTATTGGATACTCAAGGAATTGATATTCACTATCTGCACCTAGGCTCTTGCTATAATGGATTAGGTTTGAGTAAACTTATGGGTTGACTAGGCAATGAATGTAACAAGAGAACAAAGATTCATCAGTGTGAAGTTTGGTGATACCTGACCCCACAATTTTACAAAATCACAGTACCATTTCTATATCTTCCACACACCCATACAAATAGTTTTATTGGTTTTAACATTCTAATAGTCATAACCTTTATTTGAATTGCATGACAACTTATGAAAAATTGAAATTATTCTTTAGTCACAAATAGTCATTAAATGCTTATTTTATCTATTAATTCCCGTGGATACGATTTAAATTTACTACTTGAACGGCCGGTATACTTGTCGTGTTTGAATCCGTTGATAGAACAAAAATGATTTATAACAAAGACAGAAACTAATGTCAATGAAAAACTCAACAAAGGACATCAACCATTCTTGGGAATTTATAGTATAGAGGAGTTAGGAATTAGATTGCTATAAGAATTACTTGAAAAAAGAATTACTTTTTATCCTTATAAATCAATTTAATTATTTAATCTAATGATTTTAACAAGTAATTGATTTTGAATTTAATGGTATATATTGGTATATTTTTTTTTCATTAAACTTGGTTCTCAATTGTACACAGGGCCGTGGCTAAGGAAAGGCCATTGCCTTGGGCCCCGATCAATTTTTTTTATTATTTAAAATAATAATTTTAATAATGCAAATGATTATGCAATATATTTTATTATATTATAATTAACTAATAAATGCATAATTATTTAAAATTTATATATACGCACATAAATATTATAATATATATAAAATTATTAATTTGTCAAATTTTATTATAATTTAAATTTTATTTTACATTTATTTTGAATTTCAATAAAAAAAATGGTATCAAAATGAATATAAGAATTAATTTCTATAAAAAAATTAATAAAAATAATTGTGATAAAATTGTAAGAATATCATGTTAATTTGATTCTTCTAAAAAAATATTTTATAATTTTATTTATTTTTATAAATATGTTAAATTAATTTATTTTATTATATTCACACCATATTATAAAATATTTTAAAATATGAAATCACTTTAAGAAAATTATTTGAATTTCAATAAATAAGATTTTGAAAAAAAATATTATCTTAATTTTATATTAGTGATCACAAATTTTTTCTCTAATTTAAAATTTTTAGAAATTACTAACAAAACAAATTGGTGTTCCACTAGAAGTATTAAATATATTAAAAAATTAATTTATTAAATTTATGCAATATATGTTTATAAAGTACATTACAAAATAGTGATTGAATTGGTTATCATTAGATATTGAAACTTCTTAATTATTAATATTTAATTAACAATTTAATTAATTAAAATAATAAAAAAAATTATTTAATTAAATAAAAGTAAAACATAAATAAAAAAATTTATTTTAGACCTAAAACTTATTGGAGACGGGCCTGATTGTACATAACTACTTGGTAATAACTCTTCTAATCGTTTATTTAACAAAGTTGGGAACACTGAATATGACTTGTACATTTTTGTTTTTTTATTACAACTTGTAAATACATGAAATTTCATGCATATATATAAAACACGAAATGAACTGTGTGTATGTGTTTAACTATTTTCATACTTTAAAGTAAAAAAAAATTTCAATATGATTACAGTTAGGTTGCGAGAAGCTGGCGAGCGCCGTGCGAGGAAGCGACGCTGCCACCACAATTTTTTTTTTTTTAAAATATATTTCTACATCAGTTTAAATAATAATTACTCATGCTAATAACGGGGAATGTAAAACACATAACATATATACAAATGGTTCCTTCAAATTTATTTAAATTAAATAGTAAATATTAAGTTACTTTTTTTTTTTTTTTTTTTTTGTCTAACTTAATACTACAACACATGAAACCTAGGACGATTGAGGAATTTTCCTGCTAATGACAGAACAGCAAAGGACTTTAACAATACTAGCTAGTGATTTAAAAGTTGCCTATTTTGGCACCCAAATACAACATTTGACGATGAATGTTTACAACATCAACATTTGAGTTTAGTTTAGCACGAAAATGACAATTTTACAAAGTCCCAAATCCCAATATTTACTTTGGAAATGGTAACCATTTTATTCATAGGAGTTGTTGCAGTTGGAGGGTTGATGTTTACACAATGTTAGCTTCATGATTTAAACAGATTCACCAAATGGAGTCCAAATGGAATGGTTGCTCCTGTTGTTGCTGCTGTGGCATACATTCTAAAACTCTAGAAGAAGAGGCAGTGAAATTTGAAGTTAGATCAGTTCCAACATGGGAACCTCCATGAGGCATATATGATGCTGCTGATGCAAAATGATTTGTGGCTACCGCTGCTACAGCTTCTCTTTGTTGATAACTCCTAAGTTGCAGTGCCTTGAGAAGCAAAGAATTCACAGAAATACTTGGATTTATCAACCCTGAGGGCCATGTGAGAGATGGAAGAGAGGGAACCTCGCTTGCAACTGGCCAATTCATGGTCAAGTTCATGTTTCTGTTAACACTATTATTGCTGATATCAGCATTGAAAGTTTGTTCTGAAATGTTGTTGAGTCCACATGATGAATTTGCAATGTTATTTAGATTGGTAAACTCAACATCACCAAATTCATTGACCATTGAGGTTGTGTCACATGGGGACTCTGGTTGGGAGGAGGGTGTAATTTGTTGTGGTTTTTTCACTTGTAAGCTCTTTTGGAAAACCCTGCAAACCACCCATTCATCCTACAAAAGCAAACATCAACAAAATGCATGTTAATTCTCAAATCACAAAACCTAATAAACATTTGATGGACACATAAATTAACATACATATACTAGAGATATTATTGTATAAATCAAATGTATCCAAGTTTATTATGCTAATACCACATATTGATAAGTTAAGTATTTACTATTTACATATGATTAATTATGAATAAGAATTAGAATTATATATAAAAAAATTTATATAAATCACATATATTTTTTTTATGGAAGATAATTATGTTTAAGTCAAATACAATTATTTTAAATAATAAAATTTTCTTTTTAAGTATTTAACATAAATATATACTTAAGATTCAAATTCAAAATTATTAATTAAGTTGAAATATATCCCGACAAAGTGTGAAAAAGAATAATATATATGTTTAAAATATTTGTCAAATGTGATGCATGAAATAACTTGCTAACCTTGGATGGTCTAAAGTGGTGCTTGTTTTCTAGTCTATATTCATGCATGACCCAATTGCTTTTCTCACCCCTTGGAGCTCTACCCCTGTAAAAGACTAGGGTTTTCTTCATTCCTACCAAAACCCCAGCACGAAAAATTTCCTTGTCTTTCCCTGTGGTTTTCCAGTACCCTGATTCAGTGGCTCGGTTTGTTCGAAGTCCGGTTGGATACTTTCGATCTCTTAAGCTGAAGAAGTACCACTCTTTCTCCCCCATCGAGGCCTTGCCTGTTACCACACACACAAACACGTCAATCATATATGATCATTATTTAATTGATTTTTTTTTCCAATATATTTTCAATTTTGATTTTTTTTGGTCCAAATATATATTTCCGAATTAGTTATGCACTAGAATATTATAGTTTATTATGTGCATCGGTTGTAAACCACGCAGCAGAAGTAGAATGGGTCAAACATCAATTACGAAAAGAAAGCAACAAAGACTTTGTTGATTAATATAATTTGCTTGGTTGATGAAATTGAAAAGGCTCTAAAATGATCAATCGCAGACTCCAAAATGGATATAAGTTTTATATATATGTATCAGTTGAGAAACTTAAGCTTCTGGGATAAGAAGTGAAAAATTATTAAGACAAAGAATCATATAATCTTAACTCCTAAAGTTTTATATATGTATCAGAAAATGAATATTACTAGTCTTTCAATAATAAGTTACATTATAGTTCTTCTGAAAGAATCAATATGCCAGAAGTTTGAGGCAAATAAAGAACATAACATAAGCTTGCAAGTTAATAATCATGCAACCATGACAACAAAAAACCGAAGGTATATATGATGATGATAAATAACGTTGAAGAAAAAAGAACACTCTTAAACTATACCTGGGAGGTCCCAAGGTTCAGACTTATTGAAATCAACAACTGCTATAGCTTTGGATGTGAAGCTGGAATCAGAAACCTTCCTTGTAAGATAGCATGTGATGAGCTCTTCGTCTGTAGGATGGAACCTAAAACCAGGAGGCAGATTTTCCTCCATCAGATAGATTGATGAAACCAACCTGCAGCAGCTTTTGATGCCCCCTTGAATTGAAGAAGTTTGGTTTACCAAAAAGTGAAGAGGGGCACCACAAATATAACAAGTACACCAATGAGTGACCCTCAAAGTAAGCTCAATAACATCACCAAGATGAGCTTTTAAAGGCCTCTTCACTTTATGGTTTTATAGCTCACCCTTCAATAATAAGCATTTCATAAAAATAAAAATAAAATCCTAAAGAATTAACTTTGATTGATTCACCATCTTTAATAAAATCTTAACTTTAATTACATGTTTTTCATTCACAAGAATTAATACCTTAATAAAATAATCCAAACCTAGTTTCACTCTTATCAACTACATGTTAGTCTTTATATTTTTGTTAAATATAAAACTAACCCTTTGATTAATATGATATCCAATATGTAAACACGTACTTCTTTTTAATTGTTAATAAGGTTCGACAATGAAAGGTTTAGATTTTTCAAATTGTTGCTTGCATTTTCGTATATTTACTGAACAAACCAAGAATAATAGCTGCGACTTTGACTGTATCAATGTGGTGTGTTATGTGTCATATTCGATATGTGATGTGAAAATAGATTATATTTTTCGAAATTAATTAGGAAGACTATGTTAAGTTATTTGTGCACGAGGGGGGTAGAGTCTCTGTTACACCATATTTGAGATATATTAATTTCCATATTTTCTATGATCCTGTCCAACCACCTCACCCATTTCTACCCACCACAAAAACCTTTCACGCTAGTCCAATGGGAACATGGACTTATCATAGCCATATTCTCTTTAATTAATTTTTAATTATTCACACTTGTATGTTGTCGACACTCACACCGTCATATATCTATCTCTCATAGTGTATGGAAAATTACAAATATAATATATATACATATGATCTTGTAATTTAACTCATCAGATGTTTGCCAAGGCTGTTTAATTTTCTTAATTGCCAGTGTGTAGATTACATGTCGCAAATTCATAATAAATATGTGAATTATATGCTTCACCAAAATTTAAATAGCAGTAGTTAATATTAAGGGAAGCATATATACAGAAATCCCAAAGAGATAAATTCAGCAAAAAGACTAAGTAAAAATGTTGGCACAACCTAGGATAAATTTTATTTTACTTTTCATATATAAACAAGGTTCGTACCTTTTTATTTTTTTGGTGCAGACGTGCACGTGGTGACTAATATTACCGAGTGGTTAAAATGGTCACCAACCCATAAGACTGTGAATATAGAGAGCCATTTATTCAAAAAAAAATTCTAAAAATAAATACTTTTTTTTTTAAAGAAAAAAGAATATTTATTAAAATTTTAAATTCTTTTTAATGATCAGAACTATAAAACGGTTTTTTTAGAAGCAACTAGTAGTAGAGAGATGAAATTTTAAAAACAAAATACATATTTTATGATTTTAATCAAAGCACAAATCAACTTTATATATATAAGAGTTTCTTAAAAATAAATCAGTTTTTTTTAGATCACTTATTATAAGCAAAATCCCTTTTTCTTAAAACCTAAATAAACTGGCCATAAGTAAGCCTTAGACCTTAATTTCATGTGTTAATATTTAATTATTGTGTCCCATAAATGTCAATCCTAACCAGAATTTTGTGATTTCTACTTAATGCACACTAGGGTTTCTAGAAGCACGCTTTCATGTTTCCATACCCTTTAAGCTAACTCCTAACAATAATAGCCTTTTTAATTTGGCTATTTGGGAACTGAAATATAAACCACAAAGTCAAAAAACCAAAGATCAAATTACGGGTAGCTTCAAGCTGAAACTAATCAGAAATTTTCCATCTGTCCTTTCGTCTCATTTCATTTGCCAAATCCCTTCTTTCTTTCCAACCTAAACATTGAACAAGACTTCTAATATTCTCCTTCTATTTGTCTCTTTCTTCTATCTTTTTGTCTTCATTCAAGTTTTCAAACACACACACTCTCTCTTTCGAAGTCCAAATTAACGATTAAACTATAATAAAATCTTTCTTCCACCGGCTTAATAATTGTACTTTTTTACCTGAAAAATTCATCAAATTAAATGTGCTTCATTTTGGATTTTGTTTTATATCATTTTATTTACCAAAGTGAGAGTGCATGTCATAACTCGATTTAATTATTTGATTGCGACTCATGTTTCAGTGCTTATAAATAAATTCTACAGTCCTAAATATATTCTACAGTCTAGGCAAACATCTGACCAGTGTAAAGAATTTTTTTACATAAAGGTAGAAAATAGACAACCTTGTCTTTTCTGATTATAAACAAAACTGCATTATGTTTAGCCATGTGCTAATCTATAAAGGAGTATATATTAAAGAAACATGTAAATACTGGTAAAGGATATCAATGGAACACCTTTGGAGGCCAAACATTGTTTGAAGCACTTGTTACATAGTTTTCTATATAGCCAATCCCGGCTCTTAAAGAACCATCTAAACTCAAAACCATGTTTAATGTACAACTAATAAGATGAGCACCCTCACCCACCCAACTACACCTAGAGTGCGTTAGGGAAGAGAAATAGTAAAAATTTATATTAATTTAATTATTAGGTGATTACATTTTTGTTCTGATTAAAAAGAGTTCTTGAAAAAATATAATAAGTACTGATTTTTATAGTGTAGATATCTTTTATTGTCAATGGTTATAAAATTGTTTCTAAAACATCATAAAAGGAAAGTTTTTATATTTATTAATAATTTATTTGTGAGTAATTGTAAAGTCATTCCTAAAACATAGAATGTGTAATGATTTATTTAATTGTTGACAATTTCTTGAATTGTAAAATAATTTATTCTTAAAGTATAATAAAAATAGTTTTGTAAAGAACAAGTAACCATTATTAAAGATGGTACGTACTCTCAAAATCGATTTTCGTCATCTTTTAATATTTGATCGGTAAAAATCACACTTTATAAAAATAGATTAGTCATTGATTATTAATTTTAAAATATTGTGTAAATTATGTTTATAGAAAAAAAAAGTTCAATTAGTGAGAGTAATTTTATATTTCTAATTTACAATTATTAAAAGATATTTTCAAAAACAAGCGGACATCAACTTTAATTTTATAACAATGGGAACTTTATTTTACCTATTTATTTACCATAAATTACAATGAAACTTGTTCTCAAATTAATAATAGAAGCATAATTTTATAACTATTGGATAATAATTAGTGTAAAATAAACTATTGGATAATAATTTGTCATACGAAACAGAAAGAAAATTATATTTTTATAAATGAAATATTTTTCAAGTATATACCATAACTCAAGAAGATACATATAGTATTTTTTATAAATTAAATTTATCAATAATTTAAGTTACTTTTTCAAAATTAACTTTCTTACTTTTCATTTAATTATTTTTCACTTAATTAATTAATATTAGGAAAAAAGATATGTGTTTATTTATCTTTTCCAATTAATCTTAATAAGAGAGAGAAATTTTTTTATCCAATTAATTTTAAACATTTATTATCTTTTGTATAAAAAGATTGTCTTAAGTGAAAACAAGAAGAAAAAAAAAAAGTGAAAAGAGTTTTATATAATAAGATAGAGGTAAGGAAAACAAATAAGTTTGTACTCATAGATAATGACTGAACTAGTCTCATTTTTTTATAAAAAAATATTTGATTTGTAATATTTGATTTGACTAAATACAAATACAAGTACAAGTAATACCCAATTTAAAAAAGAAAAAAATATAATTCAATAACATATATATATTATTCTTAAAGTCAAGTCTCAAATTTTATATAGATCTACCATTAATTATTCATGATTATGAAATATGATGTAAGAAAATAATCAATATAATAAGAATTATGACTAAATAACAAGCATGACTTAGTAAACAATACACATCCATGTATTATTCCTCATGAAACGAGTTTTATCTTCACATAAAGCATAACTTAATTAGTGATTAACATTTCATTTTACTAAACCAACCGACAATTTGAGCAAAAGTTAAAATAAAATGTTACCTTCTTTTTTCACAATAATTGAATAAAAGTTGTTTATACATTTCAAATTAACATTTATAAAACCATGACATAAACATTCATCATACATTGTTGCAGTGTGGTCTCAAAAAGTGTTATTAATTGATCTCATACTTTTGGTAACAATAATTTTAATTAAATATAGTCACAATATAATTAGAAAAACCATTATTTGTGGCCACTTAAAAGACCCTTGAAAAATCATTGTCAAATCGTTATCTATATTTTTAACAAAAAATAATAATAATTTACAATGGTTTTTCTTTTTTACTGTAAATAAAAAAATAAAAAGTTGTAATGGAAGTAAAATGAAACACAATAAACTATGCTGGGCCTAAGCATGGTTTATTGAGTCTGGTTGGCCCAATTTGAGATTTAACTTTTAGGTTTGGCCACTTTCTCCTACAAAAAAAAATGGCACTGCCTAACTGTATGTAACACGATCCAATGAACGACCTTAATTGTAGGTACTACACTTTAATTTCTATACATAGATAAAGATTGTGGATGTATTATATCTCAGTTGCCCATGTTTCCAACTTTAAGGCAAAATATTTCACTTAAGATCAGCTCGATTGATTTATCAATGTTAATGATGTGAGGTGTGACGTGACTGTATTTTCTTTTTTCAATATTTCCTAATTCATTAAAATAAAAAACTAATCTCATTCACAATAATTTATGTTTAACTAATTATCACACACAATAAAAATTGAACATAATTTTTTTTGTTAAATAAATAACTCTTACAATACGTGAGTATAGTATCTAACCACTATATATTGATTGACTAGCTTAACATGTTAGGATGACATTAAATCATTAATTATACTTATCAAGTAGAATGTTAAATTATATTTTAAATTTAATTCAGTCTTAAAAATTAATGTATAAGATGGTATTTTCTTCCATCTATATATACTCGTTACAAGAATGACATACAAAAAATGTCTCTATAAATATAATATATGTAGATATATATATTTATTTAAAATATAGTTACGCACAAATTTAATGTTGATTTTGAATGAGATTTAATAACATATATGTTATTATAGCTTAAATTCACACCTTTTATAAATATACCAATATATTATATTTATTGTGTAAATAAAAATAATTTTTAATGACATATTATATCACTATATAATATCTGTCACATATCACAATTTTTGACTATTTTAATTTTACTACCTGAGATGTTTAACATTAACGATTATTGCTGTAATATATATATATATCGATTATGATTAATGAAATGCAATTAAATACCATCTGATTGTTAACAACAAAAAGATGAAAAGAGGCACGATGTCTAGTAAACATTTAAAACAAATAATTTTTCAACTACCATGTGTATCTGAGGCTTTCGCTCACAAAGATTAACTTCGTTTGCTTCTCTAACAAATGATTGAAACCGATCAATTATTTTTCTCTTATGTGCATTATTTTCTTTTTATGTTCTTTCTAAACATAGTTTAAATTCCTAATGATTGGATCGGTGTGGGGATGTTAAAGGGGTTTGGTCAAATATACAAGTGACCCCTACTTTTCATTTTAAAAGTAATAAACAAAGTTGTGATGAACAACTAACAAGTTGGCAAAACTACATAAAGATAAAAGAAATCAAAAAATAATAATAAGACTTAATTAAAGATGTTTTAATTAGTTTAAGTTTGTTATTATCTCTTTAATATAAAAAAATTAGTCTATGTAATTAAAAAATTGTTTTAATTGTTCATGGCTGCATACAACTTATATTGACAAAGATAAATTAAGTCTGATGTATAATATTAATTGAATTTGATATGATGTTCTAGAAGGCTTTTATAAAAATTATAAGGGCTACAAAAAGTAATTTTAAAATTAAGAGATAAAAACAAATCTATTAATATATGAGAGACTAATAAAAAATATTTAAATTTAATAATAATAATAATAATAATAATAAATTGAAGAAAAAAGAAAAAAGAAAACTCTTGAAGACAACATCTGCACTGCTATATATCTGCAATATTAATTAGTAGCAAGTTGAAAACAAAGATCAATTATGGGGGTTGCTAAAAGTATTTGCAATTATCAATTTTAGGGGCAGAGCCAAAAAACCTTTAATACATTTTAATTTGGCAGACAAAAACTTTAATATATTTTAGTTTAGTGGAAAAAGCATTTAATACATTTTATATAAGCATGCTGAATATACAATAATAATTTGATTAAAAATTATGTTATGAATTCAACTTTTTTTCTGAAAAAATAATATATCATTCTTTCCATAAAGTGAGGTTCATACCTGTCAACCTTTTGTGCATGGTTTGGTTTTGGTCTCTTCTTTTTTGCATTTGTTTCTTATGTGATTTCACATATGTTTATATAGGGAAAAATAAAAGGACCCTATTGCAAACTTGGGTTTTGTGTGTTATATCCGCACTATAAAACAAAATTTACGTGCTTTCAATGAAAAGTATAGTAGAAATGATTCCCTTATTTTTCCTTTTCCTTTTCCTTGTAATAAGAAAAAAACTATGCTCCAAAGTCCAAATGGACCAAATTTACCAATTACTAAGACACGGTTTAATAAACAAAAGAGAAAAGCTTCTACAAGTATATCAATGAGCTAAAATCTCATCTCAGACCAATTAGGTTATTTAATTATGAAAGAAGACGAGGCATGAAATGATAATGCACTTAAATTTGAAAAATAGTTTTACTAACTATTAAAAGAGTAATTAAATTTTTGAAACCTAGTACAAAAATATTCTCTCCTCATAAGCCATGAAACTTTTACGTATATAACCATGAAATGAAAGAGAAGATGTCGCATTTTTTTTTTTGAGTTTTAAATATTTAAAAATAAACATATTTTATACTAAATAAAAATAAAATAAAAAGTTGTATTAAAAACTATTATAGTAAAAATTTAATAATTTTTAAGTTAATTTAATTTTTAATTCATATAAAAAAAATTAGAATATTTTGTTACTCTTTTTTCTACTGATTTAAATAAGTTGAGAAAAATTCTCCTAGTTCTCTTTTTTTTTTTCTTCTTATTTCTATTTATTCAAATAATACATTTTTCACTTCATTCCCTTTTTATTTTTATTTTCATTCATTTTTATTTATTTATCTTTATTTCACTCTAAATTCAAGTAAAGCATTAATGTTAAAAAAACAATTAAGGAGTTTGATGTAAACCCTAAACCCTAAACCCTAAACATGTAAATCTACGTAATGGGTCAGGTCTAAATTAACTTATTTGACCCAAATTCACATATCAAAAATGTTAATTAACAAATATATATGTTAGGGTGCACTAAGGGACATATCTATATACATGTTTACATTAGAAGTCATTGAATTTATTATAACATATATGAACCCACTTGTAGAAGTCATTAAATTTATAGTCGATCTTGTTACCACTTTTTTCTTCTTAATTTTATTTTGATTATCTCCCAAAAAGTCTCATTTCAAAAAGACATATAAACTTATATTTTCTACTTTATCTAAATGATATGGAAATTTATTTTTAATTTTTAACTATCCCAATTCAAATATAAGAAAAAAAGCCAATAATCATCCTTATTCTTCCAACATCAGTAATGTAATACATTTACATTGAATCTATTTGAATACAATTTTAAAAGAACTTGAGTTTCTTTTATTAAAATAAAAGGCTTTTTTAATAATAAAAAAATCTGAAAAATTCTTTTAAAATTGTATGAAAACAGAATCATTGCATCATGTATAGAAATATTTCTCAATGAAGGTTCAAGAATTGCAGGGGCCTGTATGGGTCTATCCCTCCCTTGTGCACGTTCGCAGTTAACTTCACTCTAGCTTCAAAGAAGTTACTTTACTATATAAACATGTAGTAGAACACAATTTATACGTTTACTCTAAATTTCTTGTTTACTCTCATCACCTCTCAAGAAGATCAATGACTTAAACATATTGAAGACCTTACCACATCTGAACTTATCTCGAAGGATCCCTTAAAGACTCCTTTAAAAAGTTTCAACTCCTATTCCACACACTCTTTGACCGGTGGAGAACGATATTAAAAACAAAATAATTATTATAAAATGTAAAATTAATATAATATTATCAACATAATCATATAATTTGTAATAATAATAAAAAATCTAAACTATAAATTCTTTAACCATTGTCTAAGGCCATGATTAGCAAAATCATTTGAAAAAAATAAAGAAACCAACGACCGAATTCTAAAATTTGTTATTAACTTATTATACATGTGGTTGATGAGAATGTCCTTCAATATCCTAACTAGATATAAAAAAGCATAATCCCAAGTCCCAATATATATACCTAGATCTAGAAGGCCAACGGATCCTATTGTAAGAGAGAAGCCACAACTGTCCAATCTTAGAAACATTGATTGAGTGCTACATGACAGATTTGCCCTTGTGTTTGCATCTTACAATCAGATCATGGCGAGGGTAAAAACTAAAACCCATTTGGGAATATACTAGAGATTTGTCAGTAATTTTATATTTTTGTTCCATGTTGACAGAGAATGATAGATGTTAATATTCTACGAAAGCAACCAAGTCCACTTTTTTTTTAGGAGTTGCTTTGCTTAGTGGAGGAGTCCTTTGAGCAAAACCACAGAAAATGCCATGTTCCAAAGAAGAAGCCCTTGTTAGACTCTTCTACAATGCCTCTAGCTCCTTCCATCTTCTCTTCCTCTTCCTCTTCTCCTCTTCACTTCTTCTCATCAAGTTCTTTAACTTCATTGCCAGCCTCACCATACTCCAAAGGTCTTAACACTGCTCTTCATCCATCTTTTTTTCTCTCCCTCACACACCGTTTCTTCTTATAATTTATTAGTTGGCCATAGTTTCTAACTAATTTCTGCATGATATGCAGTAAATTGAAAATTTTAAATAACATATCATATACTTATTAGTCAGAATTATAAAACATTTAATGATCCTAACTAAATAATTTCTTGTTGCTTTCGACTTCTGACTTAAGACTTTTCTTTTCACATGTTGCAGAGATCACCACTATGAATATGTGTCTTCTGAGTATGATGAAGAAGAAGAAGAAGAAGAAATTCAAGAAAATTACCCCTATGTCCATGATTCTAATGAGTCAGATCATCTAGTAGCTGACATCATTTGTGGTGGAGAAACCCTTTTGTTTGTGCACAAGAAGCAGCCTCAGAGGACTCATTCATCTTCTGAAGAATTCACAAGCCCCCGGGATAGCCTTGTTGAAGACTCAGAAGAAAACTACTCCACAGAAACGTTGTCCTTTCACAAGTCACCTCTGGTTTCAGACTTTGAAAACGAAGAAGAGGGAGAGGAATTTCCAACAGAAGATGCTGATTCTGTTCCAAATTCTGTTCCAGTTGAAAGCAGGCCCACATCACCCATCACCCTGAACCTCCACAAAAGCGACTTAGTACATAGTGACAAAAACTACAACGGTAACTTGAGAATTCACATCATACATAGGATAAAGTTTGTTACATTATTCACATGCGACACTCGAATTGCTGACTCTATTTTGTGCAGAAGATCATGTTGAAATTGGACTTGCTGAAAACAAGAAGGTGCATGAGGCGAGTCTCACACGGGATGAGAGATTCTTTGTCATTGGTCCCACCCAATTGGAGTCTAAGAAACTCATTGTGGAGGAAAAGGACGATGAAGAAATATATGGTGATTCATGCACTGTTGGGTCCACGTCTAAGAGCTCCTCTGATTGGAGGAGCTCCATTAATTGCAGAGATTCTGGAACTGAAGACCCTTTTTCTTCCTCATCAAGACGAAGTTGCCCCAAGTGGGAATCATACACAGTTTTCCAAAAATATGATGAAGAAATGTCATTCCTAGACAGGATTAGCGCACAAAAACTTCATGAAGCTGGTAACACATTAACTTTTTTTAAAATCTTATTTTTAACTTTTCTATATATATATATATATATATATATGATAGTCGTAACTTATAAAAAAAATATATATATATTTTGATTCTCTTCTTATTTTTATCTCCTAAAAATATTTTTCAAGAAATTTATCAAAAAAAAAAACTCCATATTTATATCTTTCTTCTATGTCCTTCTCTCTTTAGGTGTCTAGTAGGACATTGGTGTTCCATGTATCATATTTATCAATCATATCAATTACTTTTCTTTCTTTTCTCTTTCAAGGTGTGTACAGCCAAAGCTGTCTACCAATTTTTTCTTAATATAAAGCATGTATTATTAGAGATAAAATATCTGCATTGGTAACTTAATCTACATTAAATAAAACTTATATTAGTAGAAAGTAGTCTTAAAGTTTAATATCATGCACCATCAATGTAAAATAAAAGAATTTACACAATAAAAACATATTATTAATATGACTTTTAAGATAATTATTATAAAAATTAACAAATTTATCAATAATAGTACAAAATTATTTTAAAATGTTATTTTCTCAAATAATTTTTCCGGTTATAACAAGTTTAAATTATAGTTGAGGATTGCTCTGACTACATGTGATAAACAACTTGATTTCAGAGTCTTTAAGGTCCATCAAGGTATCTCCGAGGTCAATTTCAGAGCGTATTGTGTACAAGTTTTCAAGTGGGAATAAAAAAGCAAGTGATGTGCGTGAGAACCCGTATCGTGAACTGGAGGCTGCATATGTTGCACAAATATGCATAACATGGGAAGCCCTTAATTGGAACTACAAGAATTTTCAATCCAAAAGAGCTTCGCGTGGCCATGATGTTGATTTGGGTTGTCCTGCCACCATTGCACAGAGATTCCAACAATTTCAAGTGTTGTTGCAGAGATACGTAGAGAATGAACCTTATGAGCATGGTAGGAGACCTGAGATTTATGCAAGAGTTAGGAATTTGGCTCCAAAATTACTCCTCGTACCAGAATATCGAGGTATATATCATATTCATGTATAATTACTACTTCTTTATTTTTCTAACTTTTGTTCAATTAAAAATGTTTTTCAGATAAAGTTTAAGAAGTATACACTATGGATATATAAATAATAATAATAATATTGTTAACCAATAAAAATTAAGATATTGAGATAACTTTTAAGATAATTAATATAAAAATCAATATTCTTACCTTAATTACATAAAAACAAATATATTATTACCTTAATTACATAAATATTTGTGATCGAAGATGTAAATTTCTTTATATTATTAGCTCATAGATTTTTTTTTTCATAAAAATTTACCATATAAGATGAATTCATAGATAGATGAGTTTATTTAAAATTTTATTATTTATAATTTATATATATCTTTCAGAATATATGATATATACAATCTTTATATATTAATTTTAAATTTTATTTAACATGAATTTTCATAATTTTATGTCAATTTATTATGCAATGTATTTACAATATTAAAAATGTATATTATTACTATGATTTAATAGTTAGTATTTAGTTTTTAATTATTATAATTCTATGTTCAAATTAGTAAGCAGCGAACTAATTAATACCGAAAAATAATCTTATATTAAATTTGCATTCAACAATAGTATTTTTGTTTTACAAACTTTAGCTACCTCTGTAGTTGCAATTGGAATAGCGTTTTCAATTATATAACTATAATTGTAACGTTATTGAAAAACTTATAATAAATAATTAGGATCTACTGTAAAGTGAAACTCAAAACTATGTTGTATTTATCACGTACCAGTGTATAGAATCGTCATGATTAACTAATTAAGATTCTTTTTGCGTGTGTTATAGAATCAGATGATGATCAGAAGGAGGATAATGGAATTCACTCAAAAATATCATCAGCTTCATTTCTTATGATAATGGAAGATGGGATCAGAACGTTCATGAGTTTTCTGAAGGCTGATAAAGAGAAACCATGTCAGATTCTTGCAGCATACTTTAGGAGAAACCGAAGACACTTGGTTGATCCAACACTTCTCCGCCTTATCAAGAAAGTTAATCAAAAGGCAATTAAATTAAATTATTCCCAATCTCAAATTATTAAATTAACAATTTCCTTAAGTGCCATCCAGATCATTATTCATTTCATATTTCATACATTTTATATCTTATAGTTGATTTTATCCTAAAGCATTTTGTGTCTTTACTAGTATTGCTACAAAATTTTTACTGATTTTATTAATGATTAATTTATCCTCATTAATATTTCAGAAGAAGATGAAAGTGAAAGATCTTCGCCGTTCCCGCAAATGCTTGAGGAAAAGGAAGTTGAAGGGGGAAGAAGAGATGGAGATTTTGATGGCTCTAATAGACCTAAAAGTTGTGTCAAGGGTTTTGAGAATGAGTGAGTTAAGTGAAGAACAGTTGCATTGGTGTGAAGAAAAGATGAGCAAAGTGAGAGTGGTGGAACGGAAGCTTCAAAGAGATTCCACTCCACTTTTTTTCCCTGCACATTGACCCACAAAAAAGATTTATATATAATGCTTGGTGACTGGATGATGATGATGTGCATGGCTGCACCAAAGGAATATCCATAACACACTTTCTTTATTGTAAATATATATGCATGGACAAAGAAAATGGAGGGGACCCCACAAATCAAAGTGAAACGTGGGGTGGCATGGATTTTGGAGCCTGAAATGAGAGGAAAGTTGGGTAAAGTGAATGCTTATGTCATTTGATGAATATTGAAAGTGAAAGACCAGAGACAAAGCAAGGAATGAAGATAGAGACAAGAATAGCTTTAGTTTGCTTTAGCTTTTTACTTAGGGTTTATCTATTAGGGTTTTGAGGTGATTCAAAAGAAGAATGAATTAACAAGACTGAAGCACATGCAGTTGAATAAAAAGTAGTCTTGCACTCTTGGAGAAAAAAAAAAGTAGTATATCACACGATTAAGGAACGGTAGGCTTAGTGATTTTATTCTTTTTCTTTTTTCCAAATAATATTAGAAAAGGACCCCACTTGTTGGTTTTGTGAAAGAGAAAAAAGATATAAGAAAGGCATAAATCAACAACCATCAAATTAAGTAGCACCAGAACCAGGACATCTTGTAAGGCTGGCTACCAATTTAATTACCATGATATGTAATATTAATTATTTCTTTACTTTCAAAATTTTGAATCACAGATTTATCTTTTCTTGTGGGTTATGAATTTTTTTTTCTTTCGTAGAAGGCTAGTTGCCATATTTTCTCCACTATAAAAAGTCATGTCTCATAATGTAAAATTTATATATATA